TGGTGCAGTCCGTCAGTCCTTAATGGTGATCAGCCCGTCAGTCCTGTAGATGGTGATCAGTCCGTCTCCGTAGATGTGACGCCGTCTTTTTGAAGAGAAGTTTCTCCAACAACACAGGGACTCCACAATAAAAAAAAAACCTAATGGGGCGGTAGACGCAACCACCCACGGGGGTACACCGTCCGTGGTAGTAGGCTGGGTAGCAGAAAACCGCCCAGGGAGGTACTACCGCCTGTGGATAGCTGTAACAGAAAAACCCCCCAGCAGGTACTACCGTCCTGTGGTTAGGCTGGAACAGCAACCGCCCAGGGGGGTACACCGTCCTTGGTATAGGCGGGTAGACAGCAACCCCCCCCAGGGGGGGTATACCGTCCTGTTAGTAGGCGGTGCACAACCCCCCAGGGAGGTACTATCCTCCCAATGGTTAAAACGAAAACCTGTAATTGTTTTACACGATGGTAGGATTGCGGTGTCTTTTTTTTTTTTGTCCGTACCAGCAATTTTTTCAGGTATCTTGCTACTTCTACTTACACTAGGTCCACTACACTACATGTACAAACTATACACACACCCCTCGGGGTTGTTTTCTTTTTCTTTCATTTTCTTTTCTTGTTTATTTCCTCTTACCTCCGGGGAAAGGGGAACAGAATTTTTCTCCGTAAGCCAGGGTGTTGAAAAGAACTAAAATGCCAGGAGCAAGGGGCTAGTAACCCCTTCTGTATATATTGCTAATGTAAAAAGAGAAACTTTCTTTTTTTTCCTTTTGGCCCCCCTCCTCGTGGGATGGGTGGTGTGTTGAAAGAATTTTAAAATTTTTAATATTTTTCTTGTCTCATTGGCCTTCCGGCAGCGTTTTTTCGTCAGCCAGGTCCTCAGGGGGGAGGTACACGCTTGTTACAAATTCCTCCTCCACCGCCCCCTTTCCGGAGACTCCCACCCGACCACCACCACTACGACGCCCACGCCCACGCCCTCGAGTGGGATCTCCCCCCTTTGCACGACAAACATCGAAAACATGATCTGTCCAAAACGTGGTGTAGGACTGACCGTCTTGGTCCTTTTGAAGCGAACGACTCGTGAACCTTTAAAATTTTAATATTAAATTTTTTTTATATATAATATATTAATAATAAATATATATATATAAAATTTTAATATATTATATAAATATTATAATAATAATTTTTAATATATATATAAAATATTTTATAAATTTTAAAATATATATTAATATTATATATATATATATAAATAAATATATATATATATTTATGGTGTCTTGCCGTAACAAAATTACATGATTTTATTATTTAAAAAATAATGACCCTGTTAAAATAAACGAATGTTTACCCAAATGGTTTTTAACGTGAGTTGGTTTTTGGTTATCTACTCACCTAGTTAGGTTGCAGGGGTCGAGTCCAAGCTCCTGGCCCCACCTCTTCACTGAGTGCTACTAGGTCCTCTCTCTCCCTGCTCCACAAGCTTTATCATACCTTATCTTAAAGCTATGTATGGTTCCTGCCTCCCCTACCTCACTTGCTAGGCTATTCCACTTCCTAACTACTGTGTGGTGTGTGTGTGTGTGTGTGTGTGCACTCACCTAGTTGTATTCAACAAGCTGTGGTTGCAGGGGTCGAGTCATAGCTCCTGGCCCCGCCTCTTCACTGGCCGCTACTGGGTCACTCTCCCTGCACCATGAGCTTTATCATACCTCTGCTTAAAGTTCTGTATGGATCCTGCCTCCACTACATCACTTCCCAAACTATTCCACTTCCTGACACCTCTGTGACTGAAGAAGTACTTCCTAACATCCCTGTGATTCGTCTGACTCTTCAACCTCCAATTGTGACCCCTTGTTGCTGTGTCCTGTCTCTGGAACATCCTGTCTCTGTCCACCTTGTCGATTCCTCTCAGTATTTTATATATCGTTATCGTATCTACCCTATCTCTCCTGTCCTCCAATATCGTCAGTTCGACTTCCCTTAACCTTTCCTCGTAGGATATTCCCCTTAGCTCTGGGACTAGTCTCGTTGCCAACCTTTGCACTTTCTCTAATTTCCTTACGTGTTTGGCTAGGTGTGGGTTCCAATCTGGTGCTGCATACTCCAATATAGGCCTGACATACACGGTGTACAGGGTCTTGAACGATTCCTTTTTGAGATGTCGGAATCTTAGTCTTAGGTTTGCTAGTCGCCAGTATGCTGCAGCAGTTATTTGGTTGATGTGAGGTGCGAGGTTCTGACCAGAACTTTGGTAAGATGGGGAAGGAAGAAGGATGGGGAAGGATGGAATGTAGGAAAGGTTTGGGAGGGTGGGGGGGGGGGAGGTGGTAGTTTAAAGGTAAGTGGCCTGTCCACTTTGGTGCAAATTAAATGCGTCTGTGTGTATGTTGTGTTATCTGTGAAAAAGTTAAATTCATAAGATAGGTATACTTCCTGACCGTCAACTGCACACCGCTATACCAGCTGCATACTGGTGTAACACTGAATTGGAAGGATGTATACTGTTTGCAATTGCCTTTTTTTTTTTTTTTGGTTGATGTGTGCCTTAGGAGCTGTTCCCGGTGTTATAGTCACCCCAAGATCCTTTTAATTGAGTGAGGTTTGTAGTCTCTGCCCCCCCTAGACTGTACTCCGTCTGCGGTCTTTTTTGCCCTTCTCCAATCTTTATGACTTTGCACTTGGTAGGGTTGAGCTCAAGGAACCAGTTTCTGGACCAGGTCTGCAGCCTGTCCAGATCCCTTTGTAGTTCTGCCTGGTCCTCGTCCAGTTGAATTCTTCTCATCAACTTCACATCTGCAAACAGGGACACTTCTGAGTCTATTCCTTCCGTCATGTCGTTAACAAATACCAGAAACAGCACCGGTCCTAGGACTGATCCCTGTGGAACCTCACTCGTCACAGGCGCCCACTCTGACACCTCGCCACGTACCATGACTCGCTGTTGTCTTCCTGACAGGTATTCCCTGATCCACTGTAGTGCCTTCCCTCTGTGTGTGAGACACATTCGTTAGGTTCAGTGCTAAATTATATATTTTTAAAGAAACATGTAATATTAATATTTAAGAAATATCGGCCGTTTTCAAAACCGATACCGTTATATATATATATATATATATATATAATATATATATAATATATATATATATTATATATATATATATAATATATATATATATATATATATGCAATAAGATCACAGTAAGCAGGTGATTTCAGAATATGCAAAACAACCACCTGAAAAATAGAGAAATTCCAAGCGCTTTCGTGACTACTCACATTATCAAGGAACTATGAAAGTAAGCATCCAAGGAAGCTATATAAGGGTCTGGCCAACACCTCACTATCAGATCCCACAACGGTTTTAAACACCTGACGCGCGCCGACCCAACTTGTATAGGTCCTTTGCCCCAACTCGCCCCCACAAACTATTCTACCCAAGAAAATTAAAAATTATTTGTCCAGTGTATTATGAAAATTTTTCCCAAATTCTATTAATTATAAATGATCTAATTTATATAAACCAAAGGAAATATTCATATTATTGTCAAAAATGCTTTTTTTGAAACAAGATTCAATTACATTCCTGTCGACCATGGACTTGCTTGATACTAACTTTCTCAACTTTTTTGGGAAAACAAAATTTGGATGGTTAAAATCTCTTACATGAATAAATAGAGCATTGGAATCTTGTCCAGTTCTAATGCTATATTTATGTTGTTTTAATCTTAGTTCGAGATTTTTACCAGTTTGACCGTAATAAACTTATCGCAAATTTTACAAGGAATCTTAGACACTCCATCAGCATTTTGGGAGGAATTCTTTACAAATTTTTCTTTTACGTATCAAGATTTTTGAAAAACTTTAATAAATTAAAAGTCTTAAGAAGAGAAGGCATATCAACCAAATTTCATGGTAAGGGAGAACCAACATATTTAGTTGAAAAAAGGCTGGTTGCCCTTTTTTGGATTGTAAAAGTATTTCTAGCAACTTAAAAGATTTATCAATTACATTTCTTGGGTATTTTAAATCATTACCTATTTCATAAATTTTGGTAAAATTTCCTCATCTATGAACTTAGGACTAAAAAATTCGTAAAGCTCCAAAACATTGATGAGAAAAAAAGACAGTTTGACTCTGGTAATAATGAAATTTAAAATTTAAAATTTACAGAAAACCTACAATAAATGTTCCTATGTCCACTATTTCCTCGCATCAAGATAGTTTAAACTGTTGTTTTCTCATCATGTTTGAGAGCTTTACGAATTTAGCCTAAGTTTAAGATGAGGAAATATCCAAAATTTATGAAATAGTTAATGATTTAAAATACCCAAGAAAGTAATTGAAAAATCTTTAAAGTTGCTAGAATATATTTTTACAATCCAAAAAGGGACAAAGCCTTATTCAACTAAAAATAATGTTGGTTCTCCCTTACCATAAAATTTGGGTTTATATGCCTTTTTTCTAAGACTTTTTAAATTTAAAGTTGTATT